TTGACAAATATATTTATAAAATTAAAATATAGTAATAAAATGCTAATAAAGTACTTATATTTGCAAAATTTTGTATTATAATAGTACATTATCAGCACTGTTAAATTGCTTATTTTTAGCAAGTTCAATTTTGGCAGATTTTTGTAATAAACGTTAGTACCAATGTTAGTACAAACGTAGTGCGAACGTTAGTACGAATGTTAGTATAAGCGTAGTGCGAACGTTAGTACGAATGTTAATATGAACATTAATACCAACGTTAATACATACGTTAGTATTAATGTTAATACCAACGTTAGTATGAATGTTAATACGAATGAATAATACAGAATGAATAAGAATGAATAATACAGAATAAATACTAATGTAATACAGAATGAATACTAATGAATACTAATGTTAATACATATTACATATGCGAATGAATACGAATGCTAATACATATGCGAATAAATGAAAATGCTAATATATATGCGAATGAATACTAATACATACGCGAATAAATACGAATGCTAATATGCTAATACGCGAATAAATGAAAATGCTAATACATACGTGAATGAATACGCTAATACATACGCGAATAAATATGAATGCTAATATGAATGTTGAATGCTAATACAATATGAAGGTTGAATGCTAATACGAATGTTAATATGAATGTTAATACGAATGTTAATACCAACGTTAGTACGAACGTTAATACCAACGTTAGTACGAATGTTAGTACGAACATTAATACCAACATTAGTACGAACATTAATACCAATGTTGGCACGAATATTAATATATCAACGTTGGTGCGAATGTTAATACGAATTAGTAACGATAATACCAAACGTTAGTACGAACTTTAATACGAACGTTAGTACGAACTTTAATACCAACGTTAGTACGAACGTTAATATCAACGTTGGCACGAACGTTAATATCAACATTGGCATGAATGTTAATACCAACGTTGGCATTAATGTTAATATATCAACGTTGGTGTGAATGTTAATACGAATCAGTAACGATAATACCAACGTTAGTACCAACGTTATTACGAACGTTAATATCAACGTTAGTATGAACGTTAATATCAACGTTAGTACGAACGTTAATACCAATGTTATAGTGTGAAGCACGAACATTAATACTAACGTTAGTACGAATGTTAATACCAACGTTAATGTGAATGTTAATACAGCATGAACATTAATACCAACGTTAATATGAACATTTATACCAATATTAGTACGAACATTAATACCAACAGTAGTATATGAACCAATGTTAGTACCAACGTTAATATCAACATTAATACCAACGTTGATACCAATGTTAGTATAAACGTTAATGTATAAACGTTAGTATGTATATATGGAAAATAAAAATTATAGATCTCTATATTTGTCAGCAATATCTTTCGTTATAGTAGCAATTCAACTTTTTATTCAAATGTTGCAAAAATATGGATAATATATTCTACGTCGAAGAATTTTAATTTGGTTGAAGAAATTTAATTTGATTAAGTAAATCCTGAATGCAAGTAAATATATAAATTTTTTAAAATAATGAGCTTATTTCATAATAAAATTAATTATCAGAAACCAGAAACTGAATAATTAGTAAAGAAATTAATTAAGAAATTCTAAAACTAACATATTTTATATTCCAATTTTATCTTAAGACTATATGATGAAAGGCCATTATAAATTAAACAAACTCATGAAGACTCGGGTGTGACATATACAAAATGGTAAAAGCGAAATTACGAGACAATAAATTGCATCAAATAGAAAAGGTAAATATTTTAAAATTATTTTTTTCAAATATATAATATAATTATTGATTTTTAACTTGATAGATTTTGCACCTTAGCAAATGTTCGAGCAAGATAAATAATGTTTCTTTCAATTCGATATCTAACAATAAATTATTTTTACTGTTATTTTTTTAACATTAGACGTGGGTTCAATTTCTTTACATCAATTGCATTTTAAAAACTAGATTTACAACATAATCTTTTATTATTACTGAAAATCTATCTTTCGTGTACATTAGCATTAATGAATTTACATTCTATTGCTAAATAAAATTAATATACAAGTTTGGGTTCGTGATTTTTTTTTGACTTGGCGCTTAATTTCAATATGCTTGAATTTGCTTGCACGACAAATACTGATATTATGATTTGAATTAATGTTTATATTTTTATTATATGTTTATTATAACAAAAATAGACATTATATTATTTTAATTCTAACCCTAACTATAATATAGTTTTCTTTGTTTTCATTTTACACAGCTTTTTTACTTAGAAAACAAATTACATTTGTTTTGACAATTTTTTGTAAGAATGCTACCTAAAATGTAAGATAAATATTAGATTAATATTGGTACTAACATTGGCACTATTATTATTATATGATATTGGTACTAGCATTTATATTAATATTTATTAAAATATATAAAAAATTTTAAAATTGATTTTATTAATTTTAAATCTTCTAATACTAAAACAAATCTAATATATTTTAATCAAATTCTTCAGCATTAGATTCTTCAGTATTAGATTCTTCAGTAGTAGATTTTTTAATAGATTCAATATACTTAATAAGATCATCTATTTTTGATTTATGTAGATTAGATCTTGAAATAGATATAGAATGAACAAAATTTTTGCCAAAAACTTTTTCAATCTGTTTGGCCTTATTTCCTACTCCAACAAAAGTATCTAAATTAATACTTAATGACTGCTTAAGGTTTTTTCTAATAGTTCCACCCTTTTGATTATCTTCACCTAATGTTTTGTAAGCATCTTGTAGAGTAATAAATGTTTGAAGCGTAGGTTTAGTTTCTGGAGAAATAACCATGTTTTGAAAAGCTTGTTCAAGATCTTCTAAATTTTTTGGATCAACAGTACTATTATCAGATGTTTCAAACATAGTAGTATTATCAGATGTTTAAAAATACTCCTTAATTGAGTTAATTTCTTTAGCACTTAAATGAACATGAGAACTACTTGATTTTTGTTCTATATCCCTTAAACTGTATTCCAGGCAAATTTGCTTGAAAAATTTAATTGTATTTAGTATTTTTTAAATAAAATAATAA